ACTTTGTTTTCCCCAGGGGACGGTGGCTAGCTCGGCTAAAGAAAGGTGGACATCATCTGGGATTTGGTAGTCCTTGCGAAATTCAGCTATTGCACCAGGTGAGTTAACTAAAAACCTATACATTCCCATTTATGGTCTAAGTTATGAATAAATTATACTCGAGTGTTAGCTCGGTCGAAGGATGATGCCGAGTAGCTCGGTTGAGCGCTTAAAGGAGTGTCTGGGCAACCTAAATCTGCAAAGTGAAGAACAAAGGTGTTAAGCACAGATCATTGGACCGTGCTAAAAGAAACACAGGCAAGTTAAATGAAGTCCTAGCTCGGCTATGAGAATTGCTTCGTGTCTTAGCTCGGTTTGAGGAAAGGGTCTATTAGCTCGGTGTGAACAAGGGATTTGTTAGCCCGGTTGAGCCTCTAGGGGCAGCATTCTTAGTTTGGTCTGAACTAAGAAAGCTGGTTTAGCCCCAAGTTGTAGCTCGGTCGTGGTTGAAACTTTCAAGCACACTTGCGCAGACTTAGTATGGTTTGTTAGCCCGGCTAAGTTAAAACAAAAGATGGTTTGATTTGTTGAAACTACGGGTATATGAAATGATAGTTCGGTTGGATAGTCTGGCTTGATTGACAGCAACTACAAACAACTTTTTAGTTCGGTTATATTGTGATTTTGGATCAAATACAGTGTTCTATAGATTGCTTAGTGAAATACAAGTGGTTCTATTACTAAGTTTTTTTCCAGAAAAACGCATGACCAAGCGGAAAATGTGTTTTGCAAAAACACGAAACAATATGCCATGGATTGTAAAAAAACAAATGCGAAAACAAAAACAAGACAGATTTGAGTAGCTTACCAGGTCAAGAGGAGGAAAATGAAGATGGAAGCAAAGACAGTGAAGAACACGAACTCAGCAAACTCAGGGTTGAGGAGTTTTAGAGACTGGCAAGAGAGAGAAGGTAAATAATAAAGTGAATGATTCACAGCATTAGGGTTTGTTTTGTGAAAAGAGAAGGGAAAAAGGCGGGAACTGTTCAAAAAACACGAGGTACGAAGACGGCGTGACAGCTGCCTTCAGCCAATGAGAGCATGCCACGTATCCTTAGAATAAAGAAGCGATTCAGTTGCTGTGACTGAAGAGATGTTTTGACCGGACAGGTACGGCCCGGTGTAAATTTAGCTCGGCTGGAAAGGCTTAAGAGTTTAGCTCGGTCGTAAGGCTAAAGTTTTTAACCCGGCTTATAGGCAGGTAATCCTTATCATGCTGCGCAGATGGAATTAAGGGGCAATTGAGAGGGTAATTTATATGAAAATTGAGCCGAGCTGGGTAATGGGCCGTTATGGGCCACAATACGAAGGGCTGAATAAAAAGGCCTTAAAATTAGTCCGGTCCTAGAAGGCCTTAATTAGTCCAGTCCCAGAGAGCATATTGTTATCTCGGTCCAGGAGAGCACTGCGAATAGCTCGGTCGCCAGGTTGCCACATTCAGAGTTAGCCCGGTCATGGAATACTGCAGCTAGCTCGGTCAGAACCATGCTAATTGTCAACCCGGTCTAATCACGCCATGGTCTGTATAGGAGGAACCGAGGTAAGAGCAGTAAAAGGAAGAACCAGACTAGCTATAGTTCGGTCTACTCTGCGGCTCAGCATAGCCATGCTTATCTCGGTCATATTGGAATCCGACCATGGTAAAACCATCTCACTTGGTTTAAGTAGTGAGGGGGTTGTTGAAGGATAAGCATTATCTTTTAGGAATATAACTCCTAGGAGGACTCTACATGGAGGAGTAAGAGTCCTACTAGGATTGTGCCACGCGAAACCTATAAAAGCTCATAACATCACCTATGGAGAGGTAACACAACTTTGATTCTCGAATACACAGAGCTTTTTGTCTATTTGTCTATTTGCTGACTTAGGCATCGGAGAGGTATCCGGCACACACCCGCCGGCTAGCTCACGTCAACAAAATATTAAGGAGTGTATTTTTTACAACCACCATATGATTCGTTCTTCGCGCATTCCTGAAGTTCTTTTCTGGACAACTAGTGCTTGTGGGTTCATGGGTTATGAACAGTATCGTAATCTTATCGATAAGAGTTATATTCCACTTAAAGGTATTATTAATTCAATTAATATGTATATTAATATAATTACATGTATACATTACATGCACACACATACATGTACATGCATTCAAGTATGCTAGATCAACACCTGTTTTTATTAATTAAAATAATTGATACATAAAATTTTTGCGATGATGACACAGAGCTCTAACCAAAGCACTAATGCTTAAATAAGATATATATAAAAAAAACCTTTGTATATGTATTCGGTACTATTACCTGAATCCTGATAAAACAAAATAAATCAAATAAGGTAAAAAAACTTATTAACAAATAAATAAATAAACTTATTAAAAATAAACTTTGTAAACTTATAAAATTATAAACTTTATAAACTTATTAATAAATCAAATAAGGTAAAAAAACTTATTAATAAATAAATAAATAAACTTATTAAAAATAAACTTTGTAAACTTATAAAATTATAAACTTTGTAAACTTATTAATAAATCAAATAAGGTAAAAAAACTTATTAATAAATAAATAAATAAACTTATTAAAAATAAACTTTGTCAACTTATAAAATTATAAACTTTGTCAACTTATTAATAAATCAAATAAGGTAAAAAAAACTTATTAATAAATAAATATTTTATGCATGTTACATTACTAAAAATTGTTGAAGTTTTATTTTTGTGTATGCTGCATTAATAAAAATTGTGAAAAAAATATTTTTAATGAACGTATCTCCGCCGTATTCGTATCCTACTTTTTCGAATTTTGTCGTATCGCCGTATCCGTATCGTGTCGTACCTGTATCCGTGCTTCCTAGATTTAAATAGATACCACCTCTTCCACTACCATTTGCTCCACCACGACGCCACCTCCAGGACTCTCTCTCTTGCTTTATGCATTTTCTCTCTCTAGAAAGAACCACCTAACCAAATCACACCCTTTTTTAACTTTCTCTACGCTGCTTCCATGACTCTCTCTCTCTCTCTCTCTCTCTCTCTCTCTCTCTATACATTTTCTCTCTCTGGAAAGAACCACCTAACCAAATCATACCCTCACTTTTTTCTCTCTCTAGAAAAAAGCACAAAATTACACTCTTTATCATCTAAGTATGAAATATACTTAATCATATTAAAGAACTGTCCAACCAAAAGGTATTATTGGCTTTATGATTTCCAAACAGTTCACAGAAATATATTTTGCTCCACCAACTTCACTTGCCAACCCTTCAAACAAGCTATTTTTATTTTCTCTCATATCTCTATCCTCTTCCATCTCAAAAACATACATACACAATATATATATGTATATATAACAGTGAATTACATCATTGATCAATCATTTCACCATCACCACCACCTCCACCACCACCACCATGGCCACCATGCATCACCATCTATTGGGAAAAAATTAATAAAGTAAATAGGTTGATCGGGTTCAATTGTCCAACCCATTGAAACCCATTTACTAAATGGGCGGGTTTGGGTTCAATCATGTTAAATGCATAACCTGTTTTGACCCACCCAAACCCACCATCCAAATCTGCCCATTTGCCATCTCTACACAAATGTAATTGGTAGATTATTATTATTCATGTTTAGTTAAACTTATATACATAAATATTAGTAAGTATTTTGATTTTTTGTTTCCAAATAATATTAGGTTAGTTTCCAAATTTAATTAGGGTTAAAAGGCTATAAATAATAGGTTCCTCATTGTGTTATTCAGATTTTGGTATATTAAGTTGTTCCCATTTTGAGTGTCTCTGCTTGAAGCTGCTGTGATATTATTTTACATCACCTAGAGTATTCAAAAAGTATTTGATTCTTCTTTAAATTTAAAGAAAATTAATTTCAAATAACAAAGAACATTACTAAGTATGAGATACGTATCTATCTGCAAGTGTCCGAAGAGTATTGTTATCCGATACGGATACAACTCTGTGCTTCATAGATATAGGTTGATCTCTCTAGACTATTTCTTATTTACTTTCTATTTTTTGTAGCCCTATCCTCATTTCGATGAATTGATAACAATGTCGTATTTTTATGTTCCTCTTTTCTTTTGAAGCCAAAATGACAATAATACTAAACAAGTCAATTAAGAAGTACTAGATGCTAGATGTTTTTTAATTTCTATGCCATTCCTGCATAATTTAGGACAACTTGTTGATAAGATCCTATAACATTTCCCTTTGAGCTACAGCTTAAGAACCCAACTAAGCAAACTTTCCAGCGTTCATGTTACTCTTGCATTGAAGGTCACATGACCATGTTACTGCTTTTGACAATGAATGATCCTGTTACTTGTCTTTCATATGAGCACTCATATTCATTTAGTCTGAATTCATCAGGATGTGACGGGTTCATGACAACGGGCTTTGGATTGATTATAGATTCAGAATTGAGGACATTCCACTCCTATTTGTTGTTAACGGGATATACCACAGTTGAAATTGCACTACCACATGCAGCGGACACAGTATTTGAACCTATGACTGAACTTGAATCATCATGTGGCTGCTAAAGCAAGCTAAGCTTCACAGGTGCCTAAAGAAGCCAAACATGCCAATGCTTGGCTATTTCTTAATGGTGCTGGAAGTATGGATTATTGTTGCAAACCTTAGCTGTAGATTTCAGCTGCAGATTTCCCGGGGGGGGGGGGGGGGGGGGGGGGGAACACACACACAACTACGAGTAAAAGAAAACGCTCAGTCACATGCTGATCAAATGTGAAAAAGAATGGATTAGATTAGATTCATAAGAAAGCTATCAGAAAGAACATAATGTTAACAATGCATATGGCTACAAAGGTACGCCAAGAAAGTCAAGAGTTGACTAAACGAAACCAAACGCACAAAAGCGCATCGAAAATCAAGGAGAGCCATTTATGGTACAGTAGAGCATGAAAGAATAGAGTGAAAGAAATTACCAGAAGTGGGTTCCTTGTTTGTCTTCCACTACGCTGTCCAGTTTAATTGACTAGAGGATGAAAACCAAACTATATGCCTGCTACTCAGAACTGGGTGTAGCGAAGCAGCTACAAAAAGATCGTACCAAGAGTTGCAAACGAAAAATATACTTTCTCAGAGTTGAATAAGTCCCTCTGGAACTGGAGCTGCCATGGGGATGCCGGAGCTGGAGAACTTGGCCTCCGGCGAACAAGTTGTGCAGCTGCCACTGGGAGGGGTTGTCGCTTGCTGGCTGTCGATGAGGAGCCACGTTCACGGTCTCTCTTGAGTATGGACTGCAACTACGAGTAAAAGAAAACGCTCAGTCACATGCTGATCAAATGTGAAAAAGAATGGATTAGATTAGATTCATAAGAAAGCTATCAGAAAGAACATAATGTTAACAATGCATATGGCTACAAAGGTACGCCAAGAAAGTCAAGAGTTGACTAAATGAAACCAAACGCACAAAAGTGCATCGAAAATCAAGGAGAGCCATTTATGGTACAGTAGAGCATGAAAGAATAGAGTGAAAGTAATTACCAGAAGTGGGTTCCTTGTTTGTCTTCCACTACGCTGTCCAGTTTAATTGTCTAGAGGATGGAAATCAAACTATATGCCTGCTACTCAGAACTGGGTGCAGTGAAGCAGCTACAAAAAGATCGTACCAAGAGTTGCAAACGAAAAATATACTTTCTCAGAGTTGAATAAGTCCCTCTGCAATTTAGAGGCAACAGTTTAAAAATGGCAGGTCCATTTCAAGATAAAGGGCACATGCAATGCCACAGAAGCTTCAATTACATTGAGTCAAATTTGAGTTGTGAAAAAAGGAAATTTAACCTTGAGGAATACTTTTCAAAATAGGTAGTATGCAATGGTCCAGCTGCAATCTACAGCCTATAATATAACAATAATTGGCTACAGTGGAACAGTAAAACAATGTTGTTGTAAGTCATTCATATTTCTGGTTATTGTAATTATTATTATTTTTTTCCAGAAGTTTTGTTTCATATGATGGGAACAAAAATGTAAAGAATGTAGGGACATATCTTTCACCTTCATATAAGATGTTATGTAGAGGAATAACAACAAAAAATCGTGTCGCGTGCAGAAAATTGAATGACCATCGAGCAATTTCTCTACTGGAAAAGTATGTTGATCCCAAAGCAAATATAAATAAATACATTATAAATTTATTGAATAACATAATTCAAAGTGAGGCAAAAGTTAGAACAAAAGAATGCTATTAAGGTACCACATAACACAGTTTATGGTGGAAAATTGCATTAACAAAACAAGGTAAAACACACAGGAATACATTTGCTTGCATTAACAGACGACGGAAGGACAAGCAAACATTACTACATGTTCATTCAAACAAAGGACGAATATGTTTCCAAATGCCATAAAACAGAAGCTTGAAGCTGCTGCGAGTTAAACTCCACAGTTCCACAACTGTCTTTTACTTTTTTGAATAACAAGTATACACATTAAAAAATGTTTAATGTTTAAAATAAAGGGTTCCCACTTACTATTTCTTCTTATTCTATTCTATTTGGCGTTTCTAGATCCATTTTTTAATGTCATAAAACAGCTTTTAAATAAATATATCGTTGGTGGGATTTGGAACTACATCTCTTGTTATGAAGACAATTATGTCTTCCAATTAGACAATGTAATCACGCACTTACAAAAAACTATTGTATAACATGTGCCAAATAAATTTATTTATTTCATATATATGATTGTTTAACATTGAACTTTTATTGTTTGTGCCAAATCTCACAATTCCCAATTCCTCTCAATTCATGATTCACAATTCACAGGAGAATTGCACAAGTTTATGAGAAAGTGGTGAGGTACAGATTGAAAGAATATTAAAGCAACAAACAATCGAAGTTTAATATAGACAAGGGCAAATTGCACAAGTTTAATAGATCGAGCCTGAGAAACAACATCAACACGGCTTTGCATTAAAGCCAAGAGAAATTATAGGAACAGAGGTGAACAACACCCAAAAATAAACGCAGAATGGAACAATACAGATAACAGAGAAAGAATAAATGCACAAAAAGGCTAACAGATCAATATTAACCCAAGATCTTGAGTAAGCAACGGGGGCAGTCAAATAGCCTAAATGTAGCCATAGAAGAGAGAACAGAATTCGAGTACATGCAAGAGATGAAAAACCCTAGGAAATATTGAACAAAAATATAAGCAACAAACCCTTAGGCAAAAGAAACCAGAAAAAAATAAGTTTGAAGTTTTTTTATATACAAGGGCAAATCGCACAAGTTGCCTGAGAGACAACATCAACACGGGTTTGCGTTAAGAGCTAAAGCAAATATGTGAACCGAACATGAACAACACACAAAAAGAAATGCATAACTGAAGAATGAAGATAACAAAGAAAGCAGAAATGCACAAGAAAACTCACTAATCTATATTATGTGAAAGAAATGCATGAATGATAAAGATAAATCTCCAAACGCAAAACACGCCAATTAACTCCCCTGCAAAGAAAGCTTTTGAAAGGGTAACACAAACGCATAAGAAACCTCACCAATTTGTATTTTCTATGAAAGATACACCACCAACAAAGCTAAATCTATGAACACAGAAGAGCCTAGTCAATTGCTCTGCAAATGGTGGCTAAAAACTAAAAGAGTTTTCAAAGGAAAACGCAAAGAAGGGTTGTTTATTTGCCATGGTCTGCGTAAACAATGGACAAGAAGCTTATCCCACTGCAACCAACACATCAACTGAAGAAGACTCGAAAGAGAGAAAATAGATCGTAATTACAAAAATAGCCCTTGGCAGCCGACAATGGCCAACTTTGGACAACTTATTCCCAACAAGGGCTCATTGAAAGGTGTGACATAAGAGAGCTATAAATAATTCCAACATATAGATATTAAAAAAAAATAAAAATAAAAAAATCATATGTTTTTATAAATATTTCTTCTAATGTTTTTCTCTAATATCGTCATGAATACAAAAAATTACAATTTAACAATATAACTTGGAATATAAAGTTAAAGATCATTTGGAATTGGGTTGTGTTTTCCAATATTTACTCACTGCTAAACTTTCCAAGGCTCTTTGTTTCCCTTCTTATTTTATTGTTTTCCTAATTATTTACCAACTACGAGCATGGACACTTCTAAAAATGTGGTGTGTCTGTGTCATGCCTCTGTCAAACACTAACACTCGTTGGACATTCTCCAACACTCATCCAAACTTGTCTTCTTTTCCTTACAAAATAAAAAAATAAAAAAATTAGACTCGGACACTTGGAGAACATACACGTATCCATTGATTAAACACACGAAACTAATTATAAGTCTGAACAAAATAACTTAGAATACAATGATAATAGAAAAACAATGTTAATTTATAGAAATTAGCGTTATATTGCTTTATTCATTGTCTTGGAATGATATATAAAATTATATATCTTGTACGTGTCCCACATGTGTCGTGTCCTGCATTTTTTGAAAATAATTGTGTCTTGCCTTTCCTATCAACAGAGGATTGATCCCTTTTTTTCCCTTCCTTTCAAAAACTTTAGAACTAAGATCATGCAGCCAGAAAATTTGTTGGAACTATGGTTGGGGGCATAGTTCACCAACTGACATCAAATACAATACATTGGGGGATTGGTGAGCAAAGAAAAGAAATCGAGAAAAAAAGATCTCTTTTGAATGATTAAAGAGATGAGAAATGGTGAGAAAGAGAAATCATTTAAAACTCAAGTTTCCATTCTCTCCAAAAATGGTAGATTTGGTGAGAAACCAAAATAACTCTATATAAAATAAATAAATAATGCCTAAATTTTACCCTCCAAATACAAAGTAAATGAAATAAAATGACACTTGTTTCCTCTTTTATTTGTTATTCTTCCAAACAAGATGGCGAGAAATCATAATCATTTATTTTTCTTTTCTCACCTAGGTGAGAAACTATAATCATTTCTTTTCATTCTCACCTTGAGATCCAAATGGAGCCTAATTCAATTTTCAGTTGAACCTTATGAACATCAAATTTTCAACTCAGAAGTATTTTATTCCAACTACCTAAGAATTTTAAAATTTGAGGCTAAAATGTGTCGTCTTCAAGCAAAAAACAGTAAAATACTCTTGAATTACCTGCTGGGGTTTTTTAATAAAAATGAAATGGTATTATTACCAAACCAAACCAAACCATGAAAATCTTGAAACCAAACCAAACTGAACCATGAAAATACAGTACTGTTTGATTTGGTTTTGATGAACTTTGTCATCATTCATAACATAATCAGAACTTGCTCAAAGATAAAGTAATATATCATCATTTTACAAACAAAATTTTTTAACTGATTGTTTTGAACTAGTTATACTATTACATGAGAACACACTTGTAAGCAAATGATTAACAACTTATGAATATATTTAGGACTAATAAGATACTTGCATATCTTAACAGTCCGGTTTGGTTCCAAATCAGAACCATAAGTATAAAACCACAGACCGAACCGTGAAACATGGCACCTATTTTAAGAAATCGAACCATGCATTGAAAACAACCAAACCAAACAGTGCGGTTTGGTCTGGATCGGACCGGTTTGCTGTTTTTTCAATATTTTTCTTCAGCCCTAGGTTTCACAAATTAAAACAAGTTTTTGTTTCAGTTATATAATTTAAAATTCCAAACATTTGGTTCGTGGCCATTTATGGTGACATTAATTTTGTACTGTTTTCATCCTTGCAAAGGCTCAAGCAAACCCATTTTCCTACATCTATTTAATTCCATCTTCTTTTCCAAGTTTAACAGTGAAAAACATTTCAAGAACAATTATCTCCGGAGCTTCTATTCTTCGAGTTACTTTACGAGTTGTTTCTCTTTCAAAACACAAATATATTATATATTATTTTATAACTATAACAACTTTGGTTTATGCCTTGATAAGCAAACTGAATTTTTAGGACAGTGACAACACGACTCACACTCTCTCACATCACAGGGGGTGCTTTTAACTCTAATTTTATATTATGTTCATGCAATATTTTTTGTCATTGTTATATTAATACTTGTGTTTTTTTTTTTAAATTTTTTTATAGGTGATTTTAATATTTGTGTTTAACATTGTATTTATTGTTTCGCTAGACTAAATATTTCATTGATTCATGATTGGAAAATACCTTAGTCAAATTGAATTGAAAGCAGATTGAGAGCAACAAAGAGAAATCCAAAAGTGCAGAAATCAGAAGAGATTGAAAATTCATGGTAAAGAGAAAAACATGAAATGGGTTACTGAGAATGTGAATATAGCAGAGTCACTGCTTCTTCTGATACGGTACACAATACACAGAGAGCAAAGGGTAGGTACCTGGAGCTGGAGCTGGAGCTGCCGTGGGGATGCCGGAGCTGGAGAACTTGGCCTCCGGCGAACAAGTGTGAAGCTGCCACTGGGTGGGGTTGTTGCTTGCTGGCTGTCGATGAGGGGGCGAATGAATTTTGAGCCCTAATTGGAAAATGGGTTTATTACACTTTTCCCCCTATAGTATTATCAAATTTTCCACTTAGTCCCTAACTATCAATTTAGTCAATTACCAACGGGGTTTGGTTCAGTGGATAAGACCTTCGAATCCCTCGCTCAAGGCTTGGGTTTGAGTTTCTATAGCCCCTTGTTGGGGTTAAACGTACTTCTTAGTGCTTGGAGCACACGGGCCTAAGTTTCCGCCCCAACATAGGTGTCGTGGGGTTCCTTACAGATATGCTATAGGTGCTAAGGGACAATATTCTCTGGCGGATATGTTGGAGTAGCCTATCTGTATATCCATTTTATGAATCTAAAAAAAAAATTTAGTCTATTAAAATATATATCAAAATCTATTTAATTTTAAATTATCAATTCAACTTATTAAGGTCTTATTTGGAGATTAAATATTTTAATCAAAAGTCAAAAAGTGAAAAAGTTATTATAAGTTATCATAGCACTCTCTTTATTTTTCAGTATATCTTTTTATAAAAAGTTAAAAAATTATTAAAATAATTTATTTTCAAACGAGACCTAAGTCTAAAGTATTTAATTCAAATCTATTTAATCTTTGAAAAGATTACAAAAATAAAACATAAACTCATAAATATTACAAATTAGTAAAGCACCATATCCAGCTAAAATTTTATTTTAAAAAACCTTAAATTTTTATTTTTTCTTTAAAAAGTGGAAGGTAGTTCTTATGGTGAATTTATTTTATAAGAGTAAGGGTAATTATCTATAGTATTCATACTTATCTTCTAAAATGGTTATGTGTTTGTTTTTATCTAGTATTATATGTCAGATTTTGTTTATAATTTATAATTTGATTATTTTTAAGTTTTTCACTAAATTCTTTTTATAACTTAATTAATGTATTATTTTGTTCTATTATTATTTATAGCAAAACTGTTATTATTTAAATTATCTGGTTTTACTTTTTCAATATATCTAGTACTAATATAATTTTATTGATAAGACTGACAAACAATACTCTAAATACAAATTTAAACACACAAAATAGTAAAATATTTTTGAAAACAAAATAAAATTTAAGATTTTCCTGTAATAAAATTTTAATTAGATGAAATCTTTTACTAATTCATAATACTTATGAGCATTTTTTTTTTTTATAATTTTTTCCAAAGACTTTGAATTAAATACTTTAAGAATTTAATAGATTCAATCGATAGTTTAAGGATTAAATACACTTTGATTTATATATTTTAGAGATTGAGTAGACTTAATTGATAGTTTAAGGATTATGTAACGCCCCAAATTTCTAGCCCAAATGATAATACAACAATCATGGCTCTTTCAGGAAAAACCGAATATAAATCTCCAAACTTACATTACATGATACAATAGTTCTTCATGCAACAATACATTAATCTAACAACAAGTAAATAAACAAATAAATACCTCCAAGGGTTTACAAGTTTCCAAGACTTGAGCTTGGTTATACAAAACGGTTATTCAAACCCACACACATACAGCCCTTGGCTTAGACACAGAATCACAGCAAAATGATAGTCTCGTACTCTCAACATACATTTCCTCGCCTTTAGTTAGGCGGCATCACCACATCTTTTCATACACAAAAATCCTATAGGGTGAGCATAAAACCTAGTAGGAAATCCTTAACAAAGTATATACATTTTATACAAGTCTCAAGAGATGAAATGCACATGCCATTCTATCCCGTAGGGTGAGCATAAAGCCCAGTAGAAGATTCTTAACAAAGTACATTTTATACAAGTCTCAAGAGATGAAATATACATGCCATGCTATGCCCTTTTTAAAGATAAATCACATAATCCTCTTTTGAAAACCATCATGTTCAATGATATCATGCAATTTCAATTGTTCAAAACTTAACAATTTATTTTAAGGGCGGTATATATGACTCTAGTAATCCCTAGGTCGATGTCTGCAAGTAGACTATACAAGTACTACCAAATTGTCATTTTTATCGGTATTAACCGGAAGGCTCGACACCTATCCGCGCGGGTTTTCAGTCTTTTACCCCGAACTCTCAGGCCAACTTATTCAAATCATCTACACCACCTATCAAGACTTACCAACATATTTACCCCAAAACCATTCCATGAAAACTTGTTTCTCAACATTCTTTTCTCAATGCAAGTTTTCAAATTAACTTTTAAAGTTTAATATAATCAAATAAATTGATATGCCAATTTCACAAGATAAATATAAATATTTTTATTCCGATTCATCATCCAAGGAATAACACAATTCCCTCTTCTCAAGTATCCTTAACAATTAGTCATTTCAAGACTATTTCAACGTTTTAAACAATAATTTCCAAAATGAACATCAATTCTCATATTCCATGAAATTTATCATTTATACAAATATAAATAAGAAATTTTTCAAACATCCATTTATTTTGACACACAAAATAAATATAACAATATCATTAATGGATTTTCAATTTCTTTTAAAAATTCCCAATTTATAGGTTTTCTCACCAAAACTATACAACTCAAATCTTTTGAAAGAAAACCTTCCAAAATCATCTTTTCTTCAATCAACGAAGATCAAAACCCATAAGATCATTTTAAAAGAACAAGAGACGAACCTACTTTCAAAATCGCTCAACTTCTTGAATCAATAATCAATTTTCAAAGCTATCGAAAGATGATTTCGAAAATCATATAGATCTTGCAAAAATATATATATATAACTCTAAGAAAATCCCTACCTCAAGTTTTGAAGAAGACATAAGATGGAACCCCCAAAATCAACAGTGTCGAAACTCGATCTTCACCGCACACAACAAAGCCCTTGAGAAGTTAACCAACTTTGATGAAGGACCTATGGTAGAACCCTAATGGATCTTGAGAAATTAAGGTTTTGATCCAATTTGGCGTAGGGAAATGTAGAGAGAAGGGAAAGGAAAGGGTTTTTAGAGAGAGAGAGAACTGAAAAAGTGATCTGAAATCTCCCCTTATGAGCTGATATAACATGGTTCGCTCGAGCGTGGAAAGCCCCGCTCGAGTGTTGAATACACTTTCCCGGTACTTTTTGCAGACAGATCAAATTTCTGGAACCAAACATTCTCTGCTTGAGCACATAAATGGCCGCTCGAGCGGACAAGCAACTTTAAATGCATTTTGCATTTTTACTTCAGCGAGCTGACCGAGCAGCTCGACCCCTGTAAGCTGTCGGGCAGCTCGACCCCCGACACACTCAGCGAAGTGGCAAAACATGAAAGAATTAACTTCCGATACAACTCTGTAAGGCACAATTCGAGTTGGATTCGCATCTAAAGATTTGGAGACATTACATGTTCCAAACACACCATTATAACCCGATAACCAAAAATAAGGGGAATACAAGGGAAACTAAGATACGTAACACCTTTCAAAACCATACCAACCCAAGCCCGGAACACCATAAGAGACGGTCAAAATCAGGATCACTACAGATTAAATAGACAATTTGACGATAGTTTAGGAATAAATAGTGTAATAAACCCTTGGAAAATATATATCTATGTATATAGGTCATGTTTGGTTAATTCACTATTAGAGCAATTGAAAGCGGAAGAAATATTTGGGCCAATCGAATTATTAATTTGGTGTTTGATTGTGCAGTAAAAAAGAATTTGGATAAATTACTCGTAAGTAGGGGTGTGAACAGGTCGGGTCGGGTCGGGTTCACTCTAAACCCATCAGCTGAACTGAATATATCGGGTTCATGTTTATCTCAGCCGATTTCGACCCATTCTGATTCGAAACTGTATGTTTCCTCAACCGAAATTAGCGGTCAATTAAGGTCGGTTTTGACAACATATGCATACAACACAAAAAATATAAGAGTTAAGGTGTAGACAAAGATTCCAACGACGGTAGTGGTTTGAAGGGAGATCGGTGATGGGGTTTCGAGGGAGAAGATCATAGGGTAGTGAGATTTGAGACCAAAGAAAGATAGATGGTATGAGGGAGATCAGAATTGATAACATGATTCATCACCACCACCAATTGACCACTATGATTCATCACCATCGTCGGTTGACCACTACTATTCCACACCACCATCAGTTCAACAGTATGCTATGCAAACCATTGCTTATAGAATTGAGAGAGATCCAAGTGAGAGATCTCTGATGGGGGTAAAAAAGAGCAGGTTTAGAGAGAGAAGAACGTAGACATAAGAGGGAGAGAGTTATGCAAATTGATGAGGGTTGGTGAGTATTAATTTGTGAGGTGACTTGAAGAGAGAGAAATGAGGGGTTAAGGTAGGTGATAAGACATTTGGCAGATTTGTGAGACAGAAAATGAAAGAAAAAATAATGTTAAAGTGATAAAGTTATTTTGTGACAAGCTAACACGTGTCTTAAAGGCCAACAAATTTGAGAAGGTGTAATCTTGTAAGCCAAATATAGTTTGACACCTGTAAAATTTATATTTAATATATAAGATATACGATCAGTTCGGTTTTTACGAATTTTCTGATCTTCAATTCGTTGGTCGACCGCCAATTCAAAAAATTCAAGGTTTGCAACTCGTAGACAACCGTAGCAACTGTTGAAATCATCCAATATTTCGGTTGGTTTGAACGAGTTGATTGGTTAGTTCGGTTATTTGCACAGGCCTACCCATAAGTCTTAGCATAAGGACGTGTACTCTATTTAATCAAATAACTTTTTGTGCAGACTCAAAAGTCCTAAGGCTCCTTCATTCTTCGTTCTCTCTTTTTAATATACATTCATCGGCAACAGACGATCACCATCGATTAGGGTTCAGTGGTAAGCACCAACCACTAACTCATTGCTTCGCCCTCATGTACAACAAATGAGATAAGTTTCCGAGGGTATTCCTGACATAGATCTACTCAGACCTCGCCAAGATCACAAGATAAGACTCATCGAAATGTTTAGATTTAGAGAAGATCTGAGTAGATCTACATCAAATTTGGCTAGATCTAAATTAAAAATAGTTGCCAGAGTACAATTTTGT